GAACTTAACAGCTACATCACCAAGCCGGCCCCGAGAAGTCGATTCTTTTAGCCTCCAAGCTCATCGCTATGCCCCTCCACCTCCTCTGCTCATACTCATATACCGTCAAGGGAGGAAAAAGATAATTGAGAGAGAACTATGGGTGATTATGATTATAGACAGACAGACAGGTGAGCTCAGGGACAGGATACTGGAGAACTCAGAGAAAATGAAGAAAGTAAAGAAAGTGGAGGAATTTAGGTTCTGGGACCAGAAGAGTTCAAGAAGCATCAGACTTCAGTCTGAGCCTCTTTGCCTGCTGGCACACAAGTCTTCACGGAGGTCTGCGTTTCTTAGTGTCCTCCTGCCGCCACATTTTAAGGTTTGGGTCAGTAACATCCACCTAATAAGAGACTAACCTGCAACAAAGTAACTACTGTCGATAGCTGTCACAAGATCCTGTTTACCCTTTGCACCAGGGGAAAGCCAATGGTCACTTTCAAAACAATGTCCCAGAGACTGCTAAATGTCAGTGTTTCAAGGAATATGATTTTTACCCAGTAAGGGGAGATATAACTCTATTTTAGCAAGAGAGGAGCCATGAGCTTGAGGGCCAAGACAGAAACTCAACCTACTTCCTTGAGTTCTCTTTGGGAGAGAAGCATGTTCTGATGAGGAAGGAATGGAGCAATTAACAGGATAGGATGACATATACTCAGGAACATCCCTCTGCTATTTCTTCCCTCCAGACTTGAGCTAGTTCCCACCACTTGAGCTCTTTCGAAAAGAGACTTCAGATATGGCCCAAACTCCAGTTGTTTTCCATCAGAATTCTCAAAGGAAGTTCTGCCCTTTCCATATAATCCATTCCCCATCTACTGGGCCCTCCATAATACCAACTTTATTTCTTGTTACTTCTTTAAGCTGATTCTCTCCAGGTTTTCTTATCCCTCTTATTCAGTGGATATCACTGTCTCATCATCCTTCCTAGCTGCAAGGGAGTTAATTTTTATTCTGCTGTCCATATACCTGGCAAAAGAATTTGAGGTTTTATTCCTATGGAAGATGATGAATATGCATATTACATGTGGGGGATAATAGCTACAAGAGTCATGCAGAAAATAAAATGGACCACTTAACCTGATTTAATCCAGTATTTCCTACACTTACTTGAAAAACAACCATTTTATGTGTCTCCTCCCTTCTTCCCTTCCCCCATCAGATTCCCATGGAATCAGACTCAGATTCCCATGTAATATCCATATTCATATCCTTCCACAGGAATAGAACTTGCAATTAGGTGTGGCCATGTGACTAAGGTTTGGCCAATGAGATGCAGACGGAATGACTGTGTGCCAGCTTCTTGGAAACTTTAATAAGAGCTGGCACATGCCCTTTGCCTTTTGTTCTTTGTCTCTTCCTCTATCTTTCTGTCTAAAATTTGAGTGGGATGGTTAGAACTCTACCTACCAGATAAAGGACACATTCCAAGAGATAGTGGAGAATGAACTGGAAGAAACTCAGTTTCCTGAAGACTTTGTGGAACAAAGCTATCATAACAGCCATGAACTGCCTATCCCTTTTTGGCAAGTCTCCTCTGATCTCTCCAGGCAGAATAACCCGCTTCCTCCAATGTTCTTACGCACTTTGCGCGCATCTTTCCTCTAGTACATATCCTAATGAATTAAACTTGTGTCTTATGCAAAAGGATAGCAAATCAAAGCCCATTCTGATTGACTGACAGTGGATATTGTATTGAGATGGAAATTGAGCCTAAGTTTTTGTTGAGTGGAAAAGTCAGAATTTATTGGTGTTAGCTGCCATGGATATAAGGTAGGAGACTAGTAATTTGCCTCACAGATATGCCATCTCTGAACTAGGTATATATCTATTTCATTTTCGAAAATGATTTATAAAGGGTAGGAACCAATCTTTTCTAATTTTCTATTTCCAGTTCCCAACTATATTATAGGGTAGAATGAAAATTGCATGAATTTTAAAGATAAAATGAGACCCCTAAATTAATTTTACACCTGTGACAAGCCACTTTGAGGCACTTGTTCATTCTCCTCTTGCTTGGGTGTACTTCAGTGGGAAAATCTGAGATGTCTTGGCAAATTAGGAGGTAAAGAAGAGCAATGCTATCCTACTAGAATTGTTGGACCATTAACATGGTGATTTACTTTTTAAAAATATGTTATTAGTTGTTGTCTTTGGATTAAATTAGACAGAAGATATTTTTTGTGAGAATACAACTCCTCTGAATCAGGGTTCTGGTGAATGACTAACAGGACAGATTGGGAGCCATGAATATGGTACCTATGGCTAGTTGCAGTTCCTCCCTCCAATTTCTAAAAGTAAGGGCTTCTGAACAAAACCAAAGCAATACAAATACATTTCCCTTCCTCTGATCTCAGATTCCTCTCCCCTTCAAGGCTAATTCTTCTCTAGTATTGCAGACCCCAGCCTCTCTTATCTCCTGTGTGGCCTCTCTACATCAAATACTCCTTTCTCGAATCATCATCTTCTCTATTGACTATTTTTTTAATCAACATATTCAAATCTCTCCCATGCTGAAGCCCTAGGTCCTGCTTCCTGTAGGAATCCTATGTTCTATGCTAGAGATGGCCTTTCTTTGTTTATCTTTATAGCCAAGCTTCTGGAAACAGAAGATACTGCCTGTGTCCCCTTCTTCCCTTTCTACCACACTCCACAGAAGCTGTTCCTACTGAAGAGGAAAACCTCTTGATTCCTAAACTCTGCAGATCCTCCTCAGACAGGCAGTATAGGATAGTGGTAACAAACACAGACTCAGAAGCTAGACTGCCAGGGTTTAAATCCCAATTCTGCCTCTTATCAGCTGCATGATCTTGCCCAAATTATTTAATCTCCTTGTATCTCATTTTCCTCATCTATAATATGGAGTTATTCAGAGGATTAAAGCACACACAGTTGTTGGATGATTAAGTGAGCTAATACATATACAGTGCTTACAACAGTACCTAGAAGATAGTAATTATCATGTAAACATTATCTGATATTCTTTGGTGTTATCTCATATCATCTCTTTATAATATCTGACATTGCTGTCAACAACCTTTTAATGGAAACTCTCCTCCCTTGGTTGCCATAATCTATTTTTGTTTTCCTCAAAATTTGCTGGCTGCTCCTTGTTATTCTTTATCCTTTCCCCAGGCTTCCCGTTTTGCTTCTCTCTATATTTAAAATTAAAATAAAATCATCTTTCTAAAGATTTTAAGTTTGGGGATAATTGAGCTATTCCATGAACGGCTTCCCATTTCCCACAGGATGAAGTCCATTAATTGAAATCACTTTCAAATATCTCTGACATTCCTCATCTTTCATTCCTGTACTATCTTCAATTCCTTGCTTCTATGTCTTCAAGACTCACCTCATGCCCCCTCTCCTAAAGGGAGTCATTTCTGATCCTTTCTCAGTTTTAACTAAGTGCTCCTTTTCTATCCTTCCAGACTACCTCATGTAACTTCTACTGCTATCACACCACTTATGACACCTGCTGTCTCCATGCTAGCTGTAAGCCACTAGAGGAATGGGACTGAGTTTTACCTGCCTTTAAATTCCTAATACCCAGCATAGTGTCAGGTGAATTGAAGGTGCTCAATAAGCATTCGTTGAGTGAATGAAATAATGAATAAAATGAGCACTATGCTTGGTCCACTGTCTCTTGAAAGAGAAGGCTGAAAGAGTTCAACAGTTATTGCGATTTTCTTACATGCAGTGCAGAGATCCAAACCCAGTCAACTTGATTTTTATTTCAGTATTTTTCCATAATACACTCACCACTACTGAGGTGGCCATATAATTAGTGGTTCCAAACACAGGTTCTGGTATCAGACTGTTCATATTTCAGCTTCACCAGTTACTAAATGTGTGATCTTTGGCAAGTTACCTCTCTGTGCACCAGTTTCTTCCTAAGATGAAAATAATAATACGTATCTCATAGAATTTTTGTTACAGGTTAATGAGACAAAACATGCAAAGTGATCAGAACAGTGTCTGGAACATATTACGTATTCAAAAGTAAAGTTATTAAAAATTATTTCAAATATTAAGACGACTCTGGATACAGTATTTTGGCGTTACTTAAAAGTTTTCATTCAAAACAAACATGAAACTAAGCTGCTGCTCCTCTGGGGAAGAATTCCAGAATTAGGAACATGATTAGTTAATCTCGAACATGTGACTTGTTATGACCCTGATGATGCTCTCACTACTTCCTAACCCCAACACTTTGCTCACAATCCAAGTCCTTGACACACTGCCCAGGTTTTAGTCCTCTATATTCCTAGTACTCATCCTTCCCCTTCCATGTCTGAGGGCTTTAAAAAAACTTTTTCTCATTGAACAATTTAGCAGGGAAAACATACATATATTCACTCTGGAGAAAATCACATTTCTGCTCCAACCCAAACATAGGTGATTACTCTCTGTTGATTCCAGCCCAGAAACATAATCAGAAGGGACTGGGGAACCCCCTGATATCAGAGCAGTCCCATCCTTCGTTGCAGTTGTCTCCACCCACGCAAGGCCACCACTACCGCCTCTTCCATCCATCTCGCATTTCATCCGTCTCGCTGGCCACATCTTCGGGGACTGAGCGCTTCCGCTGTGCTTTGGGATCCCCCATTTCTTCCAGATCCTTCGGGGTGTTTTCCTCAGGGTCGCCGGCATCCATCTCTGTGACGCTACTCCTGGCTCGAGTCTTCTTTCAACAGCTCTCAGGAAACAGAACAAAAGTGGGAAACTGCAATACGAACAGCAGTCTCTTCTTAGACACGCGGCAGGAGAGACCTCCCCTCACCCCGGGCCCTCCGGAGGGTTCCAAAGACCCTCTAGGTCGTCTCCGGCTCCGCCCCGTAACGCCGAGGGAACCCTAGCGCAGGCGCCCCAGGGCCCCGCCCTGTTCCGGAGGCTCGGCCACTATTGGTCCCAAGGCCGGGGGCGGCTGGAGCGCCCCAGTTTCTAAGCGGCGGTGATCACGTGACTCGCGGGGGCGGGGCTGCGCCGGCCGCTTCCCAGCCAAGCTGAAAGGGCTCGCGTAGCCGGCCTTGCCGGCCCTGAAAGCTCCCGCTGGACGGCCTGGTCGCGGCTCCCCCGGCCCAGCTGCGCAAAGGGAGCTGCTGCTGGCTCTCGTCAGCCCCCCAGGTTTGCTTTCCTTCTTTTCCTGAACGTAGGCCCTTAGCTCCTCCGCCGTGGAGCCTGCGGCCGCAAGGAAACCGAAATCCGAGTGTCCGGAGAGTAACCGGAAGTGCCGTCCCTGGCGGAGGGGCGGCGCCGGCGGCTGCTGGGGTAAGCGCGGCCGCGGGGCCTGGGAGGGGCCTGGCCTGCGGGACCCAGGGGTGGGGGCAGGGGCGCGGCGGGACCGGAGACCCCCCCCCCCCCCCGGCCTCAGCCTGGTAGGAGCAGCCCCTGTTCCTCGCGACCGAGCGGGGTCTGGGACCCACTGACGGCGGACTGCAAGGCAGTCAATGAAAAGTTGAAAGAAGAGAGGCTTAGTATGGTCGTTCCTGGAGATAATAATAGTAAACACTGGCAGGCACTTTTCTAAGCGATCTAGATCTTTCATATTGAGGAAAAAAACCCAAGGATGTTGAATGGAGCCTCCCCTGCTAATCTTTAATGCGGAGATTAGTTATGTTGCAGTCGTATCTATATGCAGAAGAATATGGTTTGTTTAATCATTCCATAACCGTTTAGGAAACCTGCATTATATATAACTTTGTATTATATAGACTTATCAGTACATCTTGGGGTTTATAGTGGTAGCAGAATGGGTCCTTGACCTTAAAGGTGAGATAATACAAACAAAAAACAATTAGCAGAATGATTAAAATTAAACAAATAAAACAGGACTCAGGACTTTATTATGAAGTTAAAGTTAGTCATTACCCAGAGGATTCTTAATGTTTTGTCTAGAGCTGGTTGGGAAAGAACTAATGGCTACCAGTGGCAGGTACTTCTCTCAGGAGAAACAAATGTAAGCAAAGGTGGGAAAAGGTAAGATATGGTTGAAGGTTGCTGACTAGACTGGGGAGTAAATGGGACCAATATTTAGATGTCCAGCTCCAGGAAAATTATAAATTTCACAAAAATTATAAATTTCTACATTCTCGATTTTTCCTCTAGGAGAGGGAGAGTTGTGAATAGTTATGGAATAGAGACCTTTGAAGCCAAAAGGAAGACAGTTTTGAGTCTTTGTTGTTATGGTAAGTGGCGTACCAGGCTGTATGTTTCTATGTAAATGTGGTGGATTTTGGAGGGAGGTTGGAGAGGGAGACTGGGGGAGGACAAGAAGGAATGCAAGAAGATACTTGGAAAAAGGGAATGACCCTTTCTTAGCTCCTGAGATAGCAGAGTGATAAAATTGGGTCCTATCCTACCAATTTAAGTGTAGTTTGTACTCCTTTCCAACATGTATATTCACAGTAGGCTTGTAGTAATTGCTTCTTGATTGGTTTGCAGCCCAAAAAAGGCAGTATGTCCAATGCTTAGGCAGGCTCTGGGGTCAAAAGATGGAGAGTTAAATCCTGGCTCTGCCACTTACTAGCTGTGACTTCTTGTGTAATTATTTAACTGCCCTAAGCATCAGGTTTTCTATCTGTAAGGTGCAAACACTGGTGTTAATACCTATTTTATAGAGTTTTTGGGAAGATTAAATGAGACAGTCCATGTAATCAATGAAAAATAAACAAGATAATTCCTGCCTAGGGCCTGATGCAGTTAAGTATTATCTGTTTTTTAGATAATGCTTTATTGACTTCGTCTCCTTGTCCCCTGTATTCTTTAACTGTAAGGGTAACCTTGAGCTTTGAAGTTCTATATTCCGGCTGTCTGCTTGGACTTTTATTGCCTGTCTGCTTACTCTGTGCACTCTGACCTTAGCCATGGCAGACAGAACCAGTCTCTTCCTAGGATGAGGTAAGAGAAGCCTCTTAGAGGAGGTGCCCTGAAGCTAAGACTTGAGGGATATATTTGAAATTGCCAAATGGGTCAGCCAGGGTACTAGCCTAGCCTGTTGTATTCTCCTGGGGCTCCAAGGACGATGATGGCCTTTTGTAGTGTTTATTCATTTGTATTTTTATTCATTCAACAAATGTATTCTAGATTCTAGGGCTATTGCAGTGAACAAAAGACAATCCCAACCCTAATGGAAGTTACATTCTAGTAGGAGAGAGAAACAAATTAACAAATATAAAATGTAGACTGCAAAGTTGGATGATGATAATTGCTGTGGAGAGAAATAAAGCAGGATAAGGGGACAGGGCTATTTTAGATAAAGTAGTCAGGATGTGCCTCTTTTTGAGGAAGTAATTTTCAGTCATAGACTTGAATCAAATAAACGAGCAAGCCACCTGGGGGAAGAGCAATCTAGGCAGAAGGAACCATTGCAAAGGTTCTGAGGAGGGTTTTAAGGCTGAAGATAGGTGGAGGTGCAACATGTAGAGCGGTGAAAACTTGGGGTTTTATTATGAGTGTGATAGGAAACAATTATAGTATTTTAACTAGAGAAGTGTCATGGTCTACTTTAAGTTTTAACAACCAGACTGTATTTTCTTTTCTAGGTGCTGACATCTAAAAGACTTAGATATGAATAAGAAAATGATTTCCTTATTTTAAGATGTTTGTCTTCTTGTTGCCCCACAGTTCATTGGCTCTTTAGGGCAAATATGGTACCCTGGGCTGATAGCTTTACGGAATACTCTGATTCATTTACCAGGCTATGACCTTGACGTTTTTATAAAAGAAGAGTTTAAGCCATTTATGTGGTAGAATTGCCCTCCATTTGGGTTTGTGTGATGTTTCCTCATGATTAGATTCAGGTTATACATTTTTGGCAAGAGAGCGCAGAAGTGATGTTCTGTTCTTCTCTTTGCCTCGTATTAGCAGGCGAATTATATATCTCGTTACTGGTGGTGTTAACTTCGATCACTTGGTTAAGGGGTGTGTTCCAGGTTACTCTACTGTGAAGGTACTCTTTTTCTCTTTGTAATTATTAAATATCTAGTGGGTAGATATTTTCAGATTGTGTAAATATCCTGATTCTCATAAAACTTTTCACCCACTAGATTTTTGTCTAAAACGTTTAAATAAATACTCTTCTTTTGATTGGACATGGTGATATTTTAAATTCCATCATTTCCTTTACATTTAATTGTTGGCTTTTTAATACAAGAAAAAACTTTCCTTTCTTCCTCTTTATTCACTGTTTTTAAAAATGAGTATGGATTCCTGGACTCTTATTGTGTTACTGGTTTATTACTGTCATTTATTTTGATGTTCTCTTTGTTCTAGATTTGTACAGTGGCGGCACCCTCAGCCTGGCTCCTGGGTCCTTTTGGCATATTGTCACCACTTTTTGGGCACTTTCTTATATTCTGGCACAACATGATGTTCCAGACTCATCTTGGTTCTAATCCCTGGAATCAGCCATTTCTCCAGGGAGCCCTGATTCCTTTCAGTGGAGAAGGGTGTTTCGAAACCAAGACTGAGTGCTTGGTATGCTCATTACTACTAGGATTTCATTGTTTCTATGCCTTGTAAGCAGACATTACTAGAAAAGAAATACACACTTTCACATGTACATACATTTCTATTTTTTCTATATGTGCTTTAAAACCTTGACTTCATACTGAAACTTCTACTTCCAGTTAAACAGGACAGAGTTCAGTGGAGCCTTTCCCTTTGCTATATTTGTAACTCCCCCTCTGACAGTGAGGAATCTGGGTGGCATTACCCATAGTATATTTACTTATGTGTTCAATCCTAGGATATACATTAGGTAGTGTAGGTGTACCATGATGGGAAAAAAAAAACCCTACTAATTAGAGTATTGTTCATAGTACTTTTTATCTTTAGCTTTTTATCTTTGTATAGTCCTAATACTGCATTAGAGTTATTTCAGTTATTATTTTTCCACTTCTGGGTGGTTGTATTATTCTTTTGAAACACAGACTCATTTGTTTTTCTTTGTATTCCATTTTAAGGTTGTCTCCCGTCTTGTCTATTTATTTAGTTGTTTTATTGAATACATGAAATATAATAGCTCTAAAAGTAAAAATGTGTGTGTGTTACAAAAATGTATACTCAGAAGTGTGACTCTCTCTCCCTCCACTCTTTTACACCAATTCCATTTTCCTGTTGTTTTGATCCCATTTTCACCTACCTTGTGATGATCCAGACTCATTTGTTTCTTCTTTATCTTTTCTGAATTTCTTTTTGGTCAAATGAATAGACACATGTATAGTTTTTTATTTCTACTTCGTTCTTATACAAAATGTAGCATACTTTTTTACACTGTTATTTGTTAAAATTTATAATTTATCCTGGAAATCACTCCACATCAATTTATAAAGGTTTCTTTATTCTCTTTTACAGCTGCATAGTACTCCATCATAAGTGGGTATACCAAGTTTATTCAGCCCTTTTCCTATATATGGGCATTTAAGTTGTTTTAAATATTTTCATAATATAAACATTGCTACAACGAATAACTTTATGCATGTGTATTTTCATATTGTTGGAGGTGTATCATTAGTCACTTTCTAGAAATGAGATTGCTAAGTCAGATGTAAATGTGTATCTAGTTTTAGTAGATATTGCCAAATTCCCCTCAGAAGGGTCATGCCAATTTTCATTCCCTCCGGCAACATATGCGAGTGTCTGTTTCCCTACAGCCTTGACAGCAAAATGTGTTGTCATACCTTTTAATGTATGCCAATTTGATTGGTGAGAAACAAAATTTCATGTACATTTTTATGATTTCATTTTTTTTAAATAGACTTTTTTAGAGTACTTTTAGGTTCATAGCAGAATTGAGTGAAGAGTACAGAGTTGCCATATGCCCCCTACCACCCTCCCTCCAGCCTCTTTAACTATCAATATCCCGCATCAGAGTGGTACATTTGTTCCAATCGATGAGCTTATGTTGAGACATCATTATCACCCAAAGTCCATAGTTTACTATAGGGTTCATTCTTTGTGTTGTACATTCTCTGGGTTTTGACACATATATAATGACATGTATCACCATTTATAGTATCATACAGAGAGTTTCACTGCCCTAAAAGCCCTCTGTACTCCATCCATTCATCCCTACCCCAACCCATGACAACCACTGATCTTTTTTACTAATTCCATAGTTTTGCATTTTCCAGAATGTCATATAGTTGGAATCATACAGTTTGTGGCCTTTTCAGACTGGCTTCTTTAACTTAGCAGTAGGCATAGAAGATTCTTCCATGTCTTTCCATGGCTTGATAGCACATTTCTATTTTAGTGCTAATATTCAGTTGTCTGGATGTACCACAGTTTACCCATTCATTGACTGAAGGATATCTTGGTTGCTTCCAGGTTTTAGCAGTTATGACTAGAGCTGCTATAAGTATCCTTGTACAGGTTTTGGTATGGACATAAGTTTTCAACTCCTTTGGCTAAATACCAAGGATCCCAATTGCTGGATTCTATGGTAAAAGTATGTTTAGTTTTGTAAGAAACTGCCAAACCGTCTTCCAAAGTGGCTGTACCATTTTGCATTCCCACCAGCAATGAATGAGAGTTCCAGTCACTCCACATCCTCCCCAGCATTTGGTGTTGTCAGTGTTTTGAATTTGGTCATTCTAATGGGTTTTGGTCATTCTAACTTCTGGTGGTATCTCGTTTTAATTATCAATTCTCTAATGATGTATAATGTTGAGCATCTTTTCATATGCTTTTTATTTGCCATCCCTATATCTTTGGTGAGTTGTCTATTCAGATCTTTTGCCCATTTTTTAATCAGGTTGTTCCTTTTCTTGTTGTGTTTTAATAGTGTGTGTGTATTTGTGTGTGTATACATATATATAGTATATTTTGGATAACAGTCTTTTATCAGATATCTTTTTCAAATATTTTTTGCAGTGGCTTGTCTTACTCTCTTGACAGTGTCTTTTGGAGAACAGAAGTTTTTAATTTTAATGGAATTTAGCTTATCATTTCTTTCTTTCATAGATCATACCTTTGATGTTATATCTAAAAAGTCATATCATATTCAAAGTCGTCTTTATTTTCTCCTTTGTTATCTTTGAGGAGTTTTATAGTTTTTCATTTTACATTTAGGTGTATGATCTGTTTTGAGTTGATTTCTGTGAAAGCATAAGGTCTGTGTCTAGATTTGTATTTTTGCATGTGGATGTCCAGTTGTTCTAGCACCATTTGTTGAAGAGACTGT